ATTTTGGACCCATTTAGTAAAGTTGGATCTGTATAAGCAAATGTAAAACGAAATAAACAGAGCCTTTAACGTGTGCATGCATGGGAATTAATATTGACTCGGCTATCATTTTCCTGTATATCTATTAACACTGTTAATAGTTATATAAATATACAGTAAGAATAACCAACATAATTTTTTAAGCAATAACGAAAAGTATATTCGTGCATTCAAATGTAGCTGCTAAATGTCAAAGTGATGCTCTTTCATACAGCGGTTACGTCTGCACCATAGCCGCCCGCCCTTGGGCCTGCACGCGAGCTAGTCTGCACCATTATAGCCTACACAATGCATGCACGCGCGCACAACTCGTGAATCGTTCGCAGGAAACAAGATGCGGCTTGCATGATGCAGCTCTGTTTGCGTCATTTTAACTCCGGGACCGGGTGCTGATTATTTTGATGATGGGGCCGGGAGAATTCCAAGTAATGTATACCCTTCACATTTGTGTATACTCTTACACACCATTAGATTATATCAATATATATATATATATATATATATATATCAGTTTATGACTTGCAAGATCCAGTTACTATCGTATAAGGAAAATTATACTCTTCATTCATCATCCCATGCATGTATATGCAGTTATTTAGTTTCGTCTATTCTTTTATTTATGCAGTAGTTCACATGCATATTGCTTAAGCAATATACCTTCGTACGTATAAAAGGGCTTTGCAGATCCGCACTTTTGAGTGTCAATTTTGCCTAAACATTTTTTACTGGTTTCCATGAAAGCATTAGACCGGGCCTACTATCTGACCAAGTTTGAATGAAAAATGTTGAAAACTCGCAGAGTTATTTAATTGAATACATTTCACTGTATAAGAAAAACATTGAATTTTAAAATGTATAATATTCAAATTCAATTTTCTCCCGAAGAATTTTACGGCAATTACTGATTTTCAAACGAGTTGTTCTCCTGCGGGTTTTAACCATTTTTTCTCAAATTTTCACAGGACATAGCTACAGACGACAGTTTCAAAACTGTGTTCGGCTTTTTTCTAATTTTGGATATTTTAATAATAAGGAGCAATTCACTCAAACGATTCAGAAATATATTTCAGGAGAGTCTGAATGGGGTTAACTGACTATTGACATTTGCCTGAATTTTTTACTGACAACTGACAAAATATCCTAACTGACAACTGAGAAATGATGAAAAAATGATGAGTCAGCATTTGACAGTAACTGACTACTGATACCTTGCAATATATCGCACTGACAACTGACAACTGGCTTAAATTTTAGCTGACAACTGACACCCAAAGACCCCCATTAAGACCCTCTTGCAGTCGTCAAAGAAATTGCCATATCAGCGGAATGACGAAATAAACAAAAATTCCGAACACAATTTTTTAGAACAACTATTTTACTGTATAAAAATTATATTTTTATAAACATATCTAGTTAAAACCAGCAGGAACATAACTCAAAAGCGTAAAGGTACCGCGATTTACGATTTTCCTGAATAATTCTTATATTATTTTATTGTTTGTCAATTTTACAACTTTACCATATTTTGCATGCACTGGAGAACATTTGGTGAAAATTTGATGAAAATCGGACTGATATTGAGCACGCAGTAGCGATTTTCCGCAAAACGCCCAAAAGGGTATCCTGTAACCTATCAATACAATTAGCGCCAGAAATACGTACTATATAAAAACCAAAATTAGTGGCGCATTAAAAAGGGGCTGATCTGAAACGATAGTTTAATTAAATCTGCATGTTGGAAAATGAATCTTCACATCATTGAACTCAGTTTCAATCAAATAATTTCTTGCACTACTAGTTTTAAAAATTACTTTGGAAGACACTTTTTAATCATTTTAACAAGACAATAGAATCCCTTAATAATTATGGTTCAACACAACATATAAAATGATTTCCTGAGTACATTTTTCTTTCCATGAAAAGTTACACTATTTATTCATTATATTTACGAAGAAAATTATATACATATATATATGTTAATAAATTCTACTAAACGTTTCTAAATCTACTATTATTGTGTCCCAATGCACTAGTATAATTCCCCAATCTATTTCAGTTTTAACGCAAATTCGTTTAATTTAACCCAGAATATTTACAATATTATACTAAGTACTAAATATTTACAGCGGGCTCGATATTTACATAATGCATTTACGCAGTAGATGATTAATTGTTTGGTTTTACTTGCCTACCTTCAATTGCTGTGGAAATGGCATCATCAATACTTATGTTATTCAAAGTCAATGTTAATCGTCCCACATTTCACCTCATTAAATTGTATCTACATTTAAAGGGAATATTTTTTGCGAAAAACAATAATATTTTTACTGAAAGTTTCAGTAGCATGCACTATAAGGTTTCTTGTGAAACATCTTTCGCCAAAATATACGCGGCATGGCGAAAATCACTTGCTTTTACAAGTTAAATTTCATCAAGACGGTACATCGTCATTTTGCATTTTACTGTCTTCAGAAGTCTTCTCACTTTCTAAGTTTTTACTATGTACTTCAGCTTTCAGCCGTAGGTTAGCAATACTCAGATTCCTTGCTTCATCGTCATTATTTTCATCTTTCCCAGACTTCTCTGCGTGTCCAGCTTTCTTGTACATTCCCAGCAGCCACCTAGCGGAGGTTGCATCAGCTAGGTGTGGTGGTAGTGGTAAGGAATGTCGTACCATCGCACCATACAGACCATATTCCGCCATGATTGATGTATTGCCCCAAACTTTCTCCTTCTTACGCCATTTTGCACGACGATTTTGAAACCAAACCTTGAAATAAACAAATCGTGTTTGTTTTCTGCAGCAGTGGTGTGTTGCGTAAAAGGTGTTTTTGCCTGTTGTGTGCATGGTAATTATTTTTTCATAAAGATGAGATAAGATAAGATAATGAAGGCGATGTTATAGACGGTGTAATATTTCAGCAACTTGAAATGCAACTTCGGCATATAGAGCCATGCATGTCATGTTATCTAGGCATGCAAGTACCATATTATAATTACGTCATGCTCAGAAACGAATTTTCGATTTGGGTGGAGAGCAGTATAGTACCACCACGGCACCCTTTCGCTGTTGAAAATATCAGATTTTAAAATTTTCTTGCCATAAATTTAATTTGCTTATGTTTAAAGCCTACCAATGCTTTCATACTAAAATAACCCAGCTTTGTTACACAGTTATTCAGCCATCATAGTGTCCGTCAATGATTCGAATATTGCCCGCATGTTGGTACGTTCCCAATATTTCAAACGTAGGCTATAGGGATATACTGCTAGTGTTTTGATAGTATTGGTATAGCACCTCACTATAACCTTTGCCTTTAGTTCTGACGCAGATCATTGTTAGAAGTATGTCGAGAGTGTTTTTAATCTTTTTCAGGTATAGTTAAGAAACAATCTATACGGAATCTTTGATATAAGTAGGCTACATATAAGAATCGCGGTTACACAAAAGCAGTCATGCACATCTAATTCACGCCAATTTATAATTTTTAATATTAATATTTATATTTGATCACCCTGTGGACGCTTTCTTAGCAGCTTGTCAGCGGTTGCAAACGCCTCAGTCAGTATTATCACAGCTAATAAACATTTTATGAAAATATAAGCTGTTATTTTTAGCACCTAACTTTCATATTCTCTTTCTCCAAGTTATGAACTTGCGGAAATAATTATTTAAATCATATTACGTGATACTTAAAATTGAAATTATATGATCATACTTTCAGTTTAGAATGAAATATTTAGACCACATATATACTGAAAAATTTGCCAAAAACGTAAATCATGTGATAATAATCAAGTCCTTTGGACCAAAAAAACGCTACCCCAACTTATCTCATGATCGATTGCAAGAACATGCAATTAACGTACTATACAAACGGAATTGGAACACTTCACTTGTGAAAAAGCATTTTCACATGTGAAATCATATGTGAAAGTTTCTATACGACTATACCAACATGTAGAACAGCATGTGATCTATAAAATATTAGAAGAACAACTTACTATAAGATGCTATACTTTAAAAAGAACTCGAGGGAAATTAGGTAACAAACCAAACATTCTAGAACAACTCCTTGATGTACGCTCATTGAATTTTTTCCCTAAAGTGCAAACTTGCTGGAAAACAGGATATGTGTTTATTTTTAAAAATTATTTTGGTTAAGATATTGACTTGTGCAATAAGCCTTCTGATGCGTGGCTGCTAGTGCTGCTCATTTTATTTCCCTGATGAGTTCAGTATAGTTCAAGTCTTTGAGATGCTACCTCGTTTGCATGAAGGAAAACACCTTCAGTTTATAAATAGAGCATTAAAACTGTGCTTAAATGAAGATTATATTTATATACAATGGCTACACTACATAAAATGGGTCATAGATCTTCACGTTCAGTCTTCCTTTTACTGAGAAACTTCAGAATAAAACATAATTCAAATCGTTCATTGATTATATATTTTATGCGAACTCTGTCTCTGTATTATATTAAATGATGCAAATTATTGCATTGAGTAGCACCTGCATGTAACGACATCAATTTGGCATAAACTTTAATTAAAGACATTGAAGATAAATTACCCGAGCAAGCTTACACTTAATGAACACAACTAAATATTATATTACTCGATCAATTTTAGTTATTACATCTACCTCAGTTATATATAGCATGTTAAAACATCAAAAAATGTTTTCTTGAAGTGCATGTTGAAAAATCTAGAATTTCATGTAATAAGCTATTTGAATGTGGAAACGCAGGTGCAGGTCTTCTACTAGACTACTTCGTCGTTCCAAGACTGGCAATTAAATAGAAAATGTACCGTTGTTTGTCAACGCTAAGGGTAGTTAATCCTTAATTGGAAGTCATTTTGTTAACCGTTATCTTTCAAAATTACAAATTTTCCTTGTTTTTATTAAAAGTAAAGTTGCAAAGTAGCTGTATTCATAAATATATAAAGAAATGTTGAATAGGAAGTATTGACACGGCACTGCATGTAGTAATAAAATGAGATAAAAAATGTTCTTCATGTAAAAATGATAGCGTTAATTTTGGAATGCTTTTATCCGTTTCTTGTGCTCAATTCAATTTCCCTATAACTATATATTCCGAGGACTGTATGTCTAAGTCTGGTTAATAAATTATAGTCTATTGAGGGGAGCAATTGATGTATACAATATGTATATTAGAGTATATCCAGTTATTTGAAAGAGTTATAAGAGGCTCGATTGGGAAGCAACCATCCGGCTGTATGCGAGCAAGCAACTAATCTCAACTACGTTTCGGTCCACATAAAACACGCAGTTTATCTACACAATATGTAGATACTCAAACATCTTGGTTTTTCACACATATAATACAACCACAAAATTTTAATGAAATCATGCAAAAAAGATATGGGAAATGGGCATAAAAAGTAAAACGATTCGGTATTTCAGCATAGCTCAAAGCTTCCCTTAAAAGAAGATCCACTGTACCTGTATCCTGTCTTCACTCAGGCTTGTCTTGTTGGAAAGAGCTTCTCTAGCGTACACATCTGGGTAATGACTTTCTTTAAAAGCATTCTCCAGTTCCTCCAACTGTTGGCTAGTGAAAATTGTTCGATGTCGACGTTTCTTTTGTTTCTTGGTAGAACTTGTTGGTGGAGGAAGTTTTTCTGAGAAATATGTCGGATTCATGCGATCTAGCTGCATGAAACTTGCAAAATGAGTTGAACTCCAGTCTAGAGTGAATAAGAAAGGAAAGATCTTTAGATAAAATAGACTTTAAAAAGTCATAAAACAGTTCTATCTTGTAGCAGAGACAATTGTGCAAGAGTGGGTCACTACAACAGCAAACCGGAATCGTTAATTATAATGTTTGTGATTTCTATTCTCGGGATAGTACTGAGCTGTACTGAGAAAGTAGAGTATATAGCTATAGCTATTTAATAAAGCTACATGAGTCTTGAATACAAAATTTATATAAAATGTACTTTTCCAAGTGATCGTAAAAAAGGGAATATAGTTCATGGTATAATAAGGTGCATGTTTCGATGTAACACACACAACTCCCTATATATAGTAACAATCGTGCAGAAGATTTGCATCGGAAGTTATTTTCCAAGTAAGGAAGAAGCGGAAAATTTCCGCAGGTGCATATCATATAGCTACTCTGAAATCGATTCTCACGCAAATTTCAATGTTTTATTATTTTTCGTCATTTTGACATCGTTGGTACAGCACCACACGTATACGTAAGAATACAACTCAGTTTTAATGCGAGTGAAGCATGATAAAAAAATGGTGAATATTTCTAAAGTCAATTCTTCGTACCATTCAAAGTACGGCATTTTGGAAAGGTTTTTAAAAGAAGTAATAAATTATTTTAAATTAGTATATTTAAAGCGTTCTTTATGAACGAAGTGTCGCAGAAGAGCAAACATATAAAACAAGACAAGTAACTTCATTTCATTGTGATCTCCAATTACACGAGTTCGCCTCTTTCTGAAACTGTATGATGTCTGTCGAAATACTCATAATGTTAAGTAGTATGGGGACATGATATAAAATATCGTGCATTTTCCTTTGATAAGTGAGCTAAATATACAAAACCTCATGTATATATCAATATGATCTTATATACATTAGTGACATTGTAAACCATTAAGTGTATAGGAAGAAAATACCTAATCAATGCAATAATGTCATCTTAAAACATAGTATTCATATTGAGGTCATCGATCTTTTCAAGGGAAGATCTCTAACTTTGTATATATGCAGCACAATCTACTTGTGCAGTTGTTCAGCTATATGTATCCTTAGGTTAAATTTGACCAATACAATCTACTAAAGAATAAAATTAATGTGAAATTGATGAAATGATATAATATAGTATACCTAAATGTGTCGTAGTTGGACTTCCAGGTTCGATCTTTATAACAGTATCTGTGCTTGAACTGAAGTAGCTGTTTTCGCTCGAGTATAAGTCAGGTTTCTCCCGTGTCTTATCCAAGCCAAGGATATCTTGTATGGAAAATGAGTGCGAAGATGTTGTTTTGGTTTGTGACGGACGACATTCTGCGGAGTTCTTCTCGTTGTTTTCGACACGAGCCATGATTGTTCAGTTTCTGCCTTGTATAAGAAGAGTATTTGGCGCTAGTCCACCGTCTAATGACTTTGTGAGCTTCCTAATCTGTTTTTTATCTCGCGTTGTGAATGTAATTAGCCATTGTATAGAAACAGCAATAATCGTGAAATAATTGGAGAAACAGTGGGCAGGTGCATACGTCGTCGTTCTCTGCATGGAGGACAGTTCATATATTTCTTAATTATACTTCTTATTATTAGCTTTATTACAAAATAATAACCCTAAATTCGTTCAAAACTTCAATACCATGAGCCAAGAAAGTCTTCAAAAGTATTTTACTAAGATATTTAACACGCGGACATAACTAAAAGGAAAAGTTTTAACAAAAACATTGAGGCTGTTTACATAATGATGATCAAAATGACGCAGACATTCAAAAATTGACATCTGCCTTAGTTTAAATCTACATTTTATATATTTCATGCACTTGCGCGAAATTTTTCAGACATTTTTTCACCGGAACTTAAGGGTCGTAATGTCTGGCTATTTTAGAAAATAAAAGCAGGGTTTATGATGCTCTTGAAGCACAATTCGGACTGCATGTCTGTATATTGAGACTGATGATTAAATAGCGTTTAAAAACTCATTAGAGACAACAAGATATTAAACTGGCATATTGATCTAACAAACGAACAGCTCATTAACAACTACCTAGCTCTTGCATAGCGGGAAGACTAAATGTCAACAATACTTCATGACGCTGTCATTTAGCATGCAAATATTAGAAATACATCAACCAATAGTAAAACTTCATAGCACCTGTCCTCTTTGCAACACTTGAAGAAAAAACGGTACAACTCTTTGGATAGCTTGCCTTTATAATAAACTTTGAAACATCACTTTCCTTCACCTAATACTGCTAATATTCTTCGCATCTTGGAAAATGTTAAAACACAGCTCCGGGGGATGGGTTTTATCTTAACTACAAAACACAAAAACGCCGAACTTCCGTTTAAAATAATTTATATATCAGGAAGACAAACTACCTTAATATTATATTAATAAAATAGAAACCTGCGGTGTGAAGGATATATACAACTACGTGGAAAACATAAGCAGAAGTTATGAATAAGTTCCGCTTGCATTTTTCAGTTTATTATATTTTTCAGGCCTGTATATATATAAGGTGGTTGTTTAATATCCTTAATTCAAACACAACTTTCTGTTCGCCTCTACCTATATATACACTAGCACCAACCGTTCGAGATATTAAATAAAATAGACTACATGCATGTTCTGTCAGTTTAGGATGCCCATGCATGCAAGAAAAAATATAACTAAACATTTTTACGGGTAAGAGACTTCATGAGGAAAGTGGAAAATGTTTAATAAGGGGAATTTAGAAAACGTCCCAAATATTAAATATTTTTGTAAAACACTGATGGTCATGGATTTATAGCGTACTTCAATTATATAACTACGAAAATATTTTTACATTCTAGCTCACTCTCAGACTGACAGGAAACCTTGCCAGCGGCTATATACTATATAGGGCAAGCAAATATATCGTTCTTTACTATACTTGTAGGATCTAAATATGCAACTGTCTATTTCCGCTTACAATTACGGTTAAATAAAATTTTTCTTGCATTTATTAACCAAACTTTAAACAAACAATTGATTAAAAATTGCTGTAGCTTTTCTGGATCAAGGCGGTGTTATGATATATAAAACCTAAGCAATATATTTCTATTATGCCGAGATGGCGCGCCGGTATAGAATGAATATATATCCCCATGCGGCATGCATGCTGTGTTCTTACATATAATTATCACTTTAAAATTTACGACGTCGACGGCTTCTAAAGGCAAATGTTTGTAATTGCAAAGAATTTTATCTTACTTCCATTTTTAACATAAAACAGCTTATTAATAAAAATACAACATGGAAAAGTCGGTATATAATGACCCAACAAGGAGGCTTTTTGAAAATGAAGATATAAATTAGATCCAATTACGTTAGCTTGGAATATTTAAGCTTAGTTTTATTGTAATTAGCAATCGTTTGAAAGCAGGTGAATGTCGGAGCGGTCAAATGAACATGCTTTGTTGTGATAATCACCAACTGACTGTTTCTCAAAGACTGAATATCGCAAAGTTGAAAATTTAATACATTCAAAACTAACATGGGACTAAGTCTTAACTTAAGAGTAAAGTAAAAGTGCGGTTTTTAAAAGCGAAAGTCGAAACGAACTAATACTCTATACAGCTAGTATACTATAATATAGTCAATCATACATGACATGATGAATATTAAAATACTGTTACTTAAACTGGATATTTTTTCATTTACTGTTCAATAAGAAACATAGAACGTCGAAACAGCAATATTATGTATATTATGTTCTATTGTTCTGTATGTTATGCATATTGCAATGTTTAATTAATGCATGTTTTAAAACGACCGTAAAATTTTATAAAACGTATGATATATTATGAAGTTTTTGTCGGCTTCACAGCGTGATAACGACAATTTCATGGACATAAAATCATAATATTGCATTCATGTGAAATTTTAAACTACCGCTCTAAATTAAAAAGAAATAGCCTATATATATATATAAACTCTATAGAAGAGTAGTATATATATGAAACATTTTAAAATGATTACTTCGAAAGGATTATATAAAAACGTAATGAATGAATTCGTTGTCAAGTCTTTAAGAATGATAAGCGCGCTGATCAAACATGAATGCATGTGAAAAAGGACTTCTGCATGCATGAATTGTGAATTCTAGACAATGTCATATATTGTCCATTGAATTTTTGTTGTCTAAAGAAGGAAATTTTACTGTGGCGGCTTAATAATGTGTTGTGTATCGAGAATGTTTGGCTGTTGAAGTCAACTGAAGGTGCACCTGTGCCTTTCTAGGGCTTTTAATTAAAGATAATTTGAAAACGATTAAAATTACAAATGAAAAAGTGTCGTCTTACATGCTTCAATATTTAACAAATTAATCCAACTCAGTATAAATAGATATTTCTTAAAGAAAACATTCGCTAGGACACGTTTCAGCGTGAATTTCATATATACTTTCAAAATAATGTATGTTGTGCGGTAGCATTAATAGTAATAAATTTCAATATATATTAAAACTTATATATTTGGTAAGACCTTTCTACAATAATAAAAAATACAATGTTAATGACAATGGACGGAGTTTAAGCATCTCAGCTCTGATAAGAATAGCAAGAGCAAGCTATATATAAGAACTTGCAGTTTATATATTTATATATAGAGGGATAATGTATATGACTAGTCAGTTTGAAATTTTGGACGTTTGATTTGACAGATTTCGAACTTCGACCTGCTAACGGCCATGTTATACACGAACCAGGTCACGAGGCATGGGGGCAGGCATTATCTCCAGCACTTGCGATTTCCATATATCCATATATGGAAAGGGAATTAGTGTATATAAATATTCCTAATTTTAATTTTTTAATCATTTATTCCCAATCCACATTCCACATTCCTTATAGGCTACATAATAATTATCATGTAATTTGGATATAAGTAAAGAAACTCATCCACAGTTAAATATATATATTATACTTATATAAAATACCTAATAAATATAGAGAGCATCATGCAGTAGTTCTACTATATAGTACAGATCACAAAACTGTTGTATTGGAATAATTACAGTAGATGCAACTTGTACACCATGCATGTACACTTCAGTGAAGCTGATTTCAATATCCGACAGATTACTTTAATTTCCAGCCCCAAAGGCGTGAAAGTGTTGGGAAATGTGTTCAGAAAGCTGTTTTTTTGAAGCTTAAACCAACTTATTTTGTTTTTAAAACGAAGGCTTCTTGCTTAAGGAGCGTTTATAATTTACCTAGAGTGAGGGCTATGTGATTTTGAGGGTGCTTGTGGGTCATCATCTTTCAACATTACAATTTAATTATATACAGGGGGTGGCGGCTGTCAAAACTAACATGGAAATTTGGTAGGAACGTTATTTATTTGTACATGATGTTATGTTAGTTTGCGGGTGGGGGGTCCGAAAACGTTTTCTAAAGCTTCATGCATTTTCACTTTGATTAACACTAACCTTTTTATTTCCCATTCCATTCAGCCAACATTAAACCGTGGAATGGATAAATATGACATTTCCTCCCAAAAGTCAGTTCCTTTCTGTTATGCAAATCCCGATGTTAGATCAGATGTGCAATGTTAGCGAGAATACAGTCTGCTATGAAACCAACTATGAATCTTTTCTAAAGGGTTTGCATGCAAGAAAGAGTTGTTTAAAGGGTAAATTTCTAAACTTACTGAAAGGTCACATAAACGATGGATTAGTGTCGCGGAGGTTTGGCCACTAGTTACGGTTACCACTGAGTAATTTTAAAAATTATGTAAAACAATGGACACTCCGAAAACAGTTAACATTTTTAATTCGACGTTTCGACTATCTTGCAGTCATCATGTCAAGACAATCTTACGCCTAAGTTCATCCGCTGGAAAAACCTTAAAACGGAACTTAACCACGGATGCAAAGTTTCAAAAGAACTCGTAATCTTTAGTTAACTTAGCATATCATATCATATGTCAAGTCATTTGACCTTGCATATATAACATGTATGTTTTTCCGCAGCGTCATTCCTGATGATGACTGCAAAATAGCCGAAACGTCGAAGTATAAAAATGTTAACTTTTTTTCGAGTATCCATTGTTTTGTATTTTTTAGATCTACATAAAAATGTAAGGGTTAAGATGCTTCAAACCTTATCCATGGGTTGAGGGGGTATATTAACTGGAATGGTTCAATCCAGTGTACTATGAGATCCGTGCTTATATTGGACTAGTTCAAGTTGCGTATTAATCGTTCTATCTGACAGACTGCCGGGCAACAAAGAAATCAATTGTGTTGTCCAAGCCAGCATCCTATAGGCTATATACGCTAGTGCCAGGTTCACATGATTGCGTACTTGTCACAGATCACTGCGAAAAGTCGAAGCTGGTTCAAGAATCCTGCAATTCGAACTGCAATATTTATTGTGGCTATTGTGTATGCATGGGGGCATTTGCAAACCACTAAAAATTTTCCAAAATCCTCACTAAGGAAAGATATTTCTTAACACTCGTATAGTGGTGATTGCTTAAAATAATTATTTGTTCCAACTCAGAGTTTCACTCTTTCACACATTGTTCCCGCCAAAAATTGCTTCTGTGGACGTACTTCGAGAAAATTTCAGATCTTTTGTTCAACTTCAATAAATCTTGGTTACGGAATTTCACGATGAATAGTTTCTCCTGCATGTAAATATAAGAGGATAAATTTGAGGTTTGAGTGTTGATAGGTGTGAAAGCTGTCTGATAATAACCAGTGACTGGACGGGGGGGGATGTGAAAAAGGTTATTAGATATACTGAAATAATAAAAAGGAAAGATAATGCTCAGAGATCGATGTCACGTTAATTTTATGCAAAATGCATGTTTATGCAAAATGCGCATCATGAAATCTAGCATGTTTTATACATTAAAGGCTACATTAACTGAGTGAGTTGTAATTTTATTTCTTCAACAATAAATAATTCCATATTTTTTACGAAATTTGGAGTTGTAGACATTTTTGCCTTGTTTGTCGACTTTTTGTTTACTATCCAACAGCCCTTTCCGATTGACCCCAGCATTTGTTTACGGTAAATATTTAAGAAAAATGATCATACATCTTCTCAAAAGCATTACTTCAACTTTCATGCTTAGTTTTACAGATAATTTTTGGAAAACGCAGTTAATTTTCTTAGTCGGAACCTTTTTCACACTCCTATACGATAGCCGGCAGCAAACGTTTTTGTCAATTTTCCCGCTTATTCCCATTTCATGGCCGGGATACGGGATCCGATTGCGAATTATGAATAAGGTCTAGTTTATATGTAATGTAGTACAGTTCATTCCTTCTGGATTTAAAGATTAATTATTAAAAGTCTTATCCTTTTTATTGCGCATGCATGCATATATTAGTGCTTGCTTATAAGAATAATACTTAATTATTTATAGCTACTGCAATACTGCATGGCTTGCCATGCGCACTACACTGAAAAAAACGCCCAGCCTGTAACAATGTTGTTGAAAGCAGGCCTGAACATAGACTTGCCCAAGTCGCTCGCTAGCGACCGCGCGTCAAGAAGGGAGCGCTTGAGAACCGCGGACTTTGGAAAGTCTAGCCTGAACAATATTTTGCTGCCCATATTTTGCAAAATATTGTTCATACAGGCCTGTTTTCAATAACGTTGTTACAGGGTCATGCATGGGCGTTTTTTGCTCTGTGGGCAGTAGGCCATACCGCTATATATAGCTAGTTCTTATACTTAAATTAATAGTTATTCGCCTGGCATGGCAAACATATAACTAAACTTTATTTCAAATAAGTGCGCTATTCACTAACAATTACGGTTTAAACTTAACTTGTTCCTAAGACAAATTACATTTCCTGTACTATCTATAGCCATTGAATACTAAAGTAAACTTATTAATCGTTTTTGCCATTTTAGCCGAATCATCATCAACCATATAAATAATTCTAACACTAAATTACTCATAATGACACATCTCCTCTTTATTACTCATTAAATTTTATATACGGCAAAAAATATTGATTAATAAGTGTAATATATCAGTTAATAAGCGGAATCATTGTCGCCGGAAAATTAAAAGCGGTTACTCTTTCATCCCTGCATGAAACGAACAAGGTTAGAAAATAAATGTTATATTGTTTCCCCAAGAAATTTGAAATTTGATGCAACGGTAATAACTGGGAATAATCCACATACACTTATAATAGACTTAATAATAAACATGATGATGTTGAAATCAAATAGCCTTGCCGATTATTTTTACAACTAAATTCTTGCACAAAAATAGATATTATATAATATGAAATATCATTTCTCATCTTTTCAGCTATACTGTTCAGATGTAAAATGACATCTTTCTATTATTCTGCATTGATAGACTTGATAATCAGTTCTCGTCTGCCGGCACAATTATTGGCTATAGTGGGGTCAATGTTGTCTCTACAGGATATAGATTCATGTCTCGCTGTTTACGAGCTAGGGTCAGTGGGTTGGGGTCAGGGTAAGGATTAGGGTTAGCATTCATAAATAGCGAGACATGAATCAATAACCTCTCTACATTGTTATCTGTTTCCGCTAAAAAATAGCATGGGCACCTGCAAATACCTTGATACGTATGCTTTTAACCAATAAGAAAGCGAGAACAGAGTACATGCAATGAATAACCTGCCATCGTGTCTTTCTTGCAAAAACCTAGTTAAGTGCATTTGTTACTCGTACTCAATTTTCTTTTAATTTTTAATTACTTATATTGTCAAAACTAAAAAAAAAAACATTATGCATGCTTAGTAATACAGTTATTTTCGTATTTGGTACTATAAGTTGTATAGTCCCATGTGCTGTGTCAAATGCAACTATATAGTCTTGCTTCGTTGTATATATTGTAAATACTGTAGGTTATCTAATTTTTAGAGGGCCATTAGGTAGAATACCTTCATAGGTAAAAATGTATATTTACCCTCATCAAATAAAGTTTATTATTATTATTATTATTATTATTATTATTATTTCTGCAGCCCTTAGTAACGTCCTACTTCCCCACAATAAATTTGGATTAAATATCATTCTACCTTCAACCAAATTCCTTCAATGCCAAACTGTTTCTCGGAAAGCCCTAAAGTCGTCGCCAAATGAAGCAATCAATAACCTTTGGAAGGATACTAGCAATCACAAAAATGTACAATATGACAAATACAAAAACACCAAGGACGTATTAAACACCATCAGGAAACAACATGAAGACAAGCTTCAACACCACCTCATTTCACAAGGCTCATTTTTCTCCAATATCATTAAACATTCTACACTCTCATTCAACTCTATATGGTCCTCCGTTCAGAGCAAACTTCCGAAGAATATATTTAACTTCACTATCCGGTATATAAATAACACTCTTCCGACTCGCAAAAACCTTCTGAAATGGGGAATATCACCAACATCCGAATGTTCGTTTTGTTTGAATCCAGAATCACTTCTTCACGTCGTCGCTGGATGCAAGACCTACCTAAATGAAGGACGTTTCATGTGGCGTCATGATTCGGTGCTTAACTTCATAGCATCCATACTTAAATCTGTGAACCATTGTAACCTTTATGCTGACCTTCCTGGCTATATCAGTCCATCTGTTATCACCGGAGATGAATTGCGCCCTGATCTTTTGATAACACTTGAAAACAAATGTATTTATATACTTGAACTTACCGTCGGATTTGAATCTAATCTCACTAATGCAACTCGAAAAAGACAAAAATATCAAGATCTAATTAACGAACAGCTCAAAAATTATGAAAAAGTGAAATTTGTAAATTTATCGATTAGCTCATTAGGAGTTTTCAGCCACCCGTCGCTAGATTTCACCGAAATGCTGAAGGATCTAAAGTTTGATGAACAATGTAGAAAGTACTATGTTCGGAAAATTATTACCTCCGCCAGGAGGTTATGTAATCATCTGGGTTTGTATGTGTGTGTGTGTGTGTGTGTATGTGTGTGTGTATGTGTGTGTGTGTGTATGTGTGTGTGTTTGTCTGTGAGCACGATAACTCAAGAAATACCAAACATATCCGTACGAAATTTTTTTAATGCATTTCCCATCGGCTAAGGAAGAACTGATTAAAATTTGGTTGAATTTGGTTAAAAATTGAACGAGAAATGAACAAAATTTTGTCTTGCTTTTCCCGGTCAATTAACAAAATATATTACTGAATGCGTAATTAGGACGTGTATAATTTATGCACTCAGTGCTAAGACAGTAATGAGATGATAAACCTCATTAAGCTTCGGCCTCATTATCTATTGTCTTAGTTGCATTTCACGCGACCGAAATTCAATGTCTAAAACAAGGCTTACGGAGTTACGCATTATTACGTTCAGCAAAGTGCCAGTCCATTCAAATTCTAACAACATTAGATTACTTCAATACAGGGTGTATAAAAAGAACGCAACCTCGAAATTTCCCAAGAAATCGACATTGTTTTAAAGACAAAAGATTTTAGCTGCCTGGAATTTAAAATAGCACAACTGTGAAAATTACTGCACGCGCGAGTGCACTTAATAAGTTTTTATTTTACAAGTACTGTACAGTACAACAACAGTAATATGTTCTATTAGCAATTCGATTTCAATTCGCGGGGGCCTGAAATCTTTTATGCTTAAGAATTATAAAGTGGATTTCTTAGGAAATTCCAAGGTTGCGTTTCACTTCCGAGTAACGGGCGGAGGTATGCAGTCTCTGAGTGCCCTCTAGTTAATATATGTATCAGGTCCTCGTATTATATATTCTGTAAGCGTAACAAAGAATGGGATAACCCACAACTAATGTCATACTAATATTGTTATTATGTAGAGTGTTAATTCAAGTAGACACTGGTAAACTACCTGTAAAGAGAGGTTTATCATTGTAGTGTGTATATATATTATTGAAAGTAATAAAGTTTCCATTATTATTATTATTATTATTATTATTATTATTATTATTATTATTATTATTATTATTATTATTATTATTAATCTGCTAGTTAACGCCAATCGTAAGCGTCAAAAGTACCGTGATCTAATCAATGAGCAGGAAGCAGATTATGATAAAGTCAAGTTCGTCAATTTATCCTTGAGTACCCTCGGAGTTTTTGGCCGATCTTCTGAAAATTTCGATGGCATGCGAAGTAGCCTTAAATGTGATGCCAAGTATAGTAAATACATAAAAAAGCAAATCGTGAACATATGCATACGAACATCATATTATGTATTTTGTAAACGAAACAAGGTGTGGGATAACCCAAAATTAATGTTAATATAATCCTTCTTAATTAAAATAATTATTGTACAATAAATATATAGTATCAATTCAAGTAGACATTGATAAACTACCTGTAAAGCGAGGTTTATCATTGTAGTTGTATATATCTTAACAATCAATAAATAAAGTTTCCATTATTATAATTATAATCTGCGAAATTGTTTATTACGATAGCCTAGGAGCCTAGGAATGCTATCATGCACTTAATGCAATGATTTGTGCACATGATTAAAATTTCCTTATCTTATGAGCATTTCTTTAATTTAATTTAAGTATCCGAGGCAAAAAGGTTAATGGACATCGTTCTCGATTTGTACAAACCAAATACTGTAATAGCCGTAAGTGACAGTTGTATTATATTGATTTTGTGTGCAAATATTAAATAATTTTGGATGAGACTGTAAGGTACAACCTCATTTTGACCATTCTGTCGTTCAGAATTATAGGAGTGGTATATATTTAAAAAAATAGAAGCTGATAATAGTTAGCCCATATACTGTTTTTTTGGTATTTTTCTACAACAAAATACAAACATCAGTAATCTTTTTAGAAAAACATGGACTTGATTTTTGCACTTATGGTGGATTCAAGCATGTTTCAAGGTATATTACTTAATATTTGCAGTGGTGTAATGACTAGTGAAGTTAGTAAGGGTTAGTTTAGTTTTCTAGTTCATTATATATAGAATTAATAGAAAACAAGTGAAGGAAAATTAAATTATTTTATCCATATAGATTTTTTGATACCAGCTTGCCACCTCCTGTGTAGTTTTTCTTTGTTTGTCCTGAAAAACAAGACGCTATCATTGAAGTACTGTGATCGTTGCTTGAGTTTAAAACCTGAGTTTATTAGTGGACTTTTTATGAAAGGTATAAATTTAAAGTAACTTTATATACAGGGTGTCCCAAAAAACCCGAAAACTATTGAAATCACTTATTGTTAAATTTGAATGCCCTACCAAACAGCTGGACGTAATGATGCGTAAAATATTGACAAGTGCATGTATTAGAATTTAGTTAGGAATATCTCCTGGTAAAGTGCGCGATTTTCTGCTCCTGGGAATTAAAAACAGCTTCTTAAACAGTTTCTTTATGCATAACATTTACTTATGTCAATCATTTATGCACTCGTGGGCCAACAGAGCGCTAATTAGGCATTCAAATTCTAACAATTAAATTGTTATTGGTGATTTCAATAGTTTTCGTTTTTTTTGGGACACCCTGTATACTGGATAGTATATATACACGTCAGTTCTAAACTGTTTTTCCCAAAGAGGTTGTGTAAGTGTCATCCTTAGTTGGTTAAGTTTTACTACAGGAGGAAACGGTAATAATCGTAGAAAACCTGTGGCGTTTTGGTATTAAATTTGTATCAGTCAGAGGGAACTGTAATTTAATGGTAATTAAAAACTGCATGCTTGCGTGATTTGTATTGATAAGTCAACATTTTAACTATAATTCTGTAGGGTTATTGTTATATGAAAATGGGAAACACGAAGATGCCATCCAATGTTTCCAGCAAATTGTGGTATTATCGAACGACATGCACGGGTACAAGTCAACAGCATTAAACCTTTTGGGGTGTATCTGTGCAAAACTGGTAAGGGAAATTCGCACTTCCCCAGTCTACAAAATATTTTTGGTTACGAATACATTATGTTTTGCAGGGTAAACCTCATACGGCTTTATTGAAGTTCAGAGAATCATTTGCCTGTCATTCTGGCCGCCTTGAAGCTCTCTACAACGTTGCTGTAGTTTATCACGACATTGGAGAGTTAGACTTGGAAATTTCTTTGTGGAAATATATCTTAAAGGTTAGCTGAAACAGGGGAGGGCGCGGGAGAGCTTTTAAGTAATATTTGAAATCCGACCATGAGGACTGGACTATGTTTCAAGTTCGCGCAATTCGATCAAGTCTGAGGCGAAGCCGAGGACTGGATCAAAATGCGAGCACTTGAAATCTAGTCTTGTCCGAATTGGAGGATTTGAAATGATATCTCTTACGAATGAATCACTAAAAAAAATCACTACTTAAAAAATCACTACTTAAAGTGAGGTGAATTAATTTTGATCCAGTCCAAAGACTGAATTAATTTTGTCCAGTCCAAAGACTGAATTAATTTTAATCCAGTCCAAAGACTGAATTAATTTTGATCCAGTCCAAAGACTGAATTAATTTTGATCCAGTCCAAAGACTGAATTAATTTTAATCCAGTCCAAAGACTGAATTAATTTTGATCCAGTCCTGCATGGGACTGGATCAATATACTTGACCAGTATTTATCCCGACTGCCAACCAATATGGTGGAATGAATTATTATAATCAGTTTGAGACAGGCCTATAGTATTATTTTTCTTATTTGCGTTGCTGCATTACTACTATTTGGTTGCTGCATTACTGCTATTTGGTTGCTGCATTACTACTATTTGGTTGCTGCATTACTGCTATTTGGTTGCTGCATTACTACTATTTGGTTGCTGCATTACTACTATTTGGTTGCTGCATTACTACTATTTGGTTGCTGCATTACTACTATTTGGTTGCTGCATTATTACTATGCGTTCACGCATGACGTGTTATATGAATGCATGTTCTGTATATATTTATCCTCATGCAAACATTCACGACACATCCACTCCTTCACATCCAGAAGAAAACCACACTAAAATTGAGGCAAAAATTGCAAGTGTAAACCGACTTACCGACCATATATAAAACGGCTCTATTTGACTTCCAGAACCATTTAATTGATCAGTGGCAGTGTTTCGTTCGATCATGTAGATCATTTTAACATATTTTAAAAAATGCCTCGCTGAACCAACATTTAGCCAAGGGTTTGAAACAATGCAAAAGTTTGAGTTCTAAAACGGTGGATCAACGTGGTGATCAAGAAAGTGATAACTTGCCTGACATACTCTATCAACTCGGTCATGCAGTTCCTGGTCGAATAGTAATACGATCGTACTTGTTAGGAATAGAAAATAATTTTTGAATATTATGCGGGATTATTTTAATAGTGGGAGTCTTACTTCCTGTTTTCAAGCTATACAATTGAAGAAAAGCAAGAATACTTAATTAACGTCTAAACACAGACATTGGTCTGCGTAAAATATAACAAAGCGACGGCATTTATATTTAAAGATCACGTCTATATACATTAGAGGTGTGCATCGGATCGGATTGGACGTTTATAATCCGACAATTGCGTTTATAATCCGACGATTAATGTTTAAAATCCGATCCGAAATTGTCTAATCCGAATCCGATCCGAGTTTTGATAAAGAATTCCAATCCGATCTGATCCGAAGAATTCTTTAATAAAATAAAATACTTTAGCCTTGTCAGGCCTCGTGTATAAATCGTGTTATTCTTTCAAAAATATCTTTATATTTTTATCAATTTATCTTGAATTGGCTGTCTTGTTTTCTCGCCATTCTACTTACGATATTATTCCGAAGTTATTTATCAACATGGAATCTTATCTTCATCATGGTAAGTAGTCAAATACCACATATTATATATTTAAATACCAAATTTGTGCAAATATATGTCCCACATATTTTATAATACATGAGTTCGCCAGTTCGGCAAATATTTACTATACTATCTATAGTTAATATTGCCATATCTTCGGCGTAGAGTTTACATGGAATGCACTCTGGAATTTTTTATTAATATATTACACTGTATAAAATATTGGATATTTTCGAGGACATTTTCAGCCATTTGTCAACATAGTTCACAAAAAGATTTATACAGTATTAAAAACAATCCTTCTGTGACTTCTGTAATATTTTAAACAGTGAAAACATAGCAGGCAATATTGCCAATTAACAATATCAAAGGAACCTGTTAGACAGTTCTCAGGAGATACTGAATTAAATCCTGGTCCTGTATTTCTGTATATTGACTCCGTAACTCTGTTCAAAAGAACAGTCCAACTATAAAGCTGTCATCAAATGTAGTGTTAGAGCAAAGGTTGAACATGTTATCAGTTAAAATACTTACACATTTTATTTGGTTTTACACATTATAGTTAATTAAACAAAATTTTTACAAACACTTTCAAATAAAAGAATCTTCACCCTCCCGAGCCTCATTACATTGTCATTTTGCTTCTAACATAAATATTTTTCTTTAGAGATTAATACAAGAATGAAGAATAAATGTACTGGATATTGGCTTGATAATTTTGTCAGAACAACCAACTTGCAAGACAATCTTACCTAAATTCATTAGTATGGAAAATAACTTAACAGCTACAATGAATAATCATATATTATATGGTGGATTTGATCAATGGCACACAATGTACAAAACTAAACTTGTGATACCTTCTACTCAAACCGATAATCTCCCACAACACAATTGTTTTTGTGTGAATGTGCTGTACGTGTTAAACCAACAGTGTGGTATATCATTAACTGTGCACAGAACTGGAATTTAATTACATACTTCACTCATGACCTTCAAAACATTATCAATTATTCTGTGGTCTTCGACATGTTCACCAAATATTTTGTGTATGTTACTCAACAATTAACATTGGAAAGTGTAAACAACAAGTGACATAACTTTTGCTTCATATGATTATAATAAAGTTTTGAAAATTTGATGAGTATGGATTGAATTGACAGGTGACAGTTTATTAAATAGCCGGCTGTATAGACACTTTGAATATTGTTTGCATGAAATTTTTATTTCCTGACTGCATAATTATCTGTTACAATCATAATCACATTATAAAGTTAGTTAAATTTTCTCGGTGCGGGGGTGGGTAGCACTTCCCCTGCCGCCCTTCCCGCTGTGTACAGCCCTGTTTTAAATCTTATCTGCTATTATAATAAGTGATGAAATATTTCAATTGTCCCATGTCATCTTCATTATTCAGTTTCTTTCAAGAAAATACAAAATGTGAATCAAGTTTTTTCGCAGATACATGTACGCGTCGCGTACCTATTTTTTATGATCTCACAAACGTGCCTTCTCCCAGTCCTCGGAATTAGATTTACTAACGGAGGGTCATATTACAAAACACATCATGTAGTTTCAACTTTCAATAGCCTTTGAGTTTGGCTCATGAAATCCTTCGCAAATTGAAGTGATATGATACCTGACCAGATCCAATATAACTGGCTGTTTGTGAATCAAAATTCTCAAGCAAAATAAAGAGTAATATTTCATTTATTCTTTGTAAAATGCATTTTTATTCAATGAATTACAATATGCTATAAATATCACTTGTATACTAACGATATTCATCGCAAATCTTTCATGCAATGCAAATCATCCAAATGATATTGTTTTAACACTCCAATGGCAATGCTCTATTCTGGCCCTTTTTATAATGTGCAATGCATTTATAAATTATAAATACAGCAGGAAAGCTATAAGGCCCGAAAGCGCATTATTTCAACTTCGCATTTATCATACAAGATACATTGCAATATGTTAATTTCTGTTTCATAATTTTGGATATTTTCATACATTACAGCCGTGCACACTTTCCCTTTGGCTTTACCACCCAAATTACGACCATGATCTTTGTGAAGCACGTAGCAGAGAAGTCCCAACTCAGTGCCTTCTCGTTGTTGAACAGAACAACATTATAAAAGCTGCTCGCTTGATATCTTAGCTGCCCAACAATAATCCTCATTCAGAGACAATTCAAGTTTATTAAACGCCGTTAAATCGTCTCGTAAAATCGGCCGCGTACATATCAATAAATATCAAATAATATCCACATCGAAAAATAATTCTCCCAACTATGAAAAACCTTCATATACGGGAATACGAAAGACTGCTTTGCATGAATTTCGCAATTTTCAAGGACTGATATCCCCAGCCACTGACAAAAACTCCCTTAAAGTGCAAATCAGTCGGACCACCCCATAAAAACTCCCCTTAAGTTGCAAATCAGTCCGACCACCCCACAGATCAGTCGAGATAAGTCCAAATAACCTCTCGACCAATCAAATGAGCATAACGACCACCCGATTCTGCGAGATTCTTGCGTTTTACCGTTGATCTAGATAAAGCATATATTTATTCAAAACTGAACTCGTAAAGACGTATACTGGACTATGATATGAATTTCATATTATATTCGGAAATTAATTATTCAAATTTCGAAATAATAAATTAATTATTTCTTTGCAAAAAATACGTCAGTCACGCGACTGATTGGACTTACCCTAGATCCGCCCCTGTGATGACTAAATATTTCATGCAAGTGGGATCTCGGCATCCCGGCGGGCCAATAAATACCAAATAGATCAGTATATAGTATAAACATTAAAAGAAGACTTCACTTCAGCATCGAAGTCGTACATATAGACGGCCGGAAGAAAAACCTTGAGCAAAACCTGTTTTTTTAAAGAAACGAAATCGGTGCATTATAGACAAAGGCAGGGGTGGAAAACATTTTTTTCTTTCTGGGAAAATGGGGCGAAGGCTAAAAATTTTCTGTAAAATTTGTAATGTTACAATTACAAAAATAACAAAACAAATGCATAATTATTGTATTATTTGTACTTTAGTAATAATGGGTTTTAGGCTGGTTTTCGTACTCTTGTTCATCACAATAGTTGTCTGTTATATACCACAGTTATGATTTATGACCAACTAGTAAGGATCTCGATTTTTTCTGTGTTGGTGTTATGTACTAAGGTGAATATGATGTTTGTGATGTTACTCTTGAGTGTATATTCCCCCCTGGCAAACTTGAAAAATATGCCTGGCCACGATGGGAATCGAACCTACGACATTTGGATTACTAGCCCAATGTTCTGCCAACTGAGCTACGCGATCAGTATGTGATATTTCGGAACTGAGTTTAGTTCCTTCGACATCAATGTAATCTACCATAGTGAGTTTAGTTCCTTCGACATCAATGTAATCTAATCCACCGTGGCCAGGCATATTTTTCAAGCTTGCCCGTTCTGGATACACACTCAGAGTAACATCACAAACATCATATTAAGGATCTAACGCTTAACCTATCATCTTATTTGTTCCAGCACTTTTATTTGTTTACTATTTAATTTGCATTCTATTGGAGACTTTGCAGAGCATATATTTACCATTTTACCAGTCATTGTGATGGCAGGGGTGGGTAAAAGAATTAATTTCTGTCAAATATTTAAAAGCTGCTGATGTTAGCATGTACAGTGTAAATTTGAGTAAACAGAGTAAGTTGAGTAAACAGAGTTATCTCAAAATGTTGAAGTATTTTCTGGAAAATTTTCTGCAAAACTCTCAACTCAAAAAAATTTCTGGGAGCTAGGTTCCCAAGTTCCGATACTTTTTCCACCTCTGGACAAAGGGAACCCGAAAATTCTTTATATGTTGTTTAGATTTGATGAAAAGTAATGATAAAACTGGCAATCCAAATCTACAGTAGAAAGATGGCAAACTTACGTGCAAACACTCGACCAAAACGTCTTGGACTATTTTTAGCGAGGTTCCGGGTGGGTTGCGGGATGTTCCGGATGGGTTCCTGGTGTTACAGGTTTTACAAACACCCAGTGGCTAAGATTTCCCTTAAAAAAAGGTTGATATGCTAAATAGTTTGTTTTGGAGGGAGCACGGCAGAAATCCTTTTGTCTTCCTTGATATTTTGCTTTGTTTTCCCTTTACATCCTTTAATATGGATATTACAGTACGCGTCATCTTTTGAAATGAATTTGATGCAGATTTCACTAAAATAAGGTCGTAGCCAAAGATGTTTAACACTTATTAAAAACTATTCGTATCAGCATAGTTAATAGAGGAGATGGTTTGGAAACTCGTTAGCATTACAATAAAATCACAATAAACCTCATTATCTATGTTGTTCAGGTTTATGCAAAAATGTGGTCTTTGATCGTCACGTGCGTATTGTATTTTTCTCACGTCAACCAATAGGAATGTCCAAAATGTCTTATTGTTAAAGTCAGGAATGGGCAATTGGACAAAACCGTTGCTATTGGCTGGTTGAGCAAAAATACAATACGCACGTGACGATGAAAGACCACATTTTTGCATAAACCTGAACAAAAACATACATAGTGAGGTTTATTGTAATGCTAATAAGTTTCCAAACCATCTCCTCTATTAACTATGGTATCAGTTTGTGGTAATCTTCAGCACATATAACAAAGCATAAGATTTTTAAAGTTTTCCGCTTCCTTAATAGACGAGCGCTATGATACAAAATGCCGTCAAAGTTAGTTATACCAATTTTCAAGTGACGTCCGTGTTGACAAGAACGTCGCTTGCATGCTTAGGCTCACTAATATCGAACCAACTGTCTCAATTGCTTGGTTTTGTATGGCTTATATTCATTACTCATTTCAACACTGCAACTACTAAACACAAGGAGTAATAACAAACCCAAAGGTCCTTTCTCTATAACAAGACTTTCCTGACTTGAACTATAGTCATTGTTCTCAACTGTATGGCTTTGTATGGCACATATTCGTTACTCATTTCAACACTACAACTATAACAAGGCGGAATAAATCCAAAAGCTCTTTGTCTATGATTAGTCAATATCGTCCACGGTTCTCGAGGTCATTTCATCCAGGAATTCCAGCGCTGTTTCTTCCAATTCTTTCAGACATTGATGCAGGAAATTATAGGTGGAGCAGAACGAAATGCTGGAAGCAATAGCGGGGCCGACAAGTGGAATAAAACGAGTAAATTCTTCAGCTGTCGAGCTAGCAGTGTAGGTTGCAAGAAACGATGCCATTTGCAAACTACTGGTGATGCAAAACTTGCGAACTTTCTCCTGATTTTCAGGGGTCATCTTTCGGAATTCGTACGAGTTTTCGTGAGGAAGGCCAAGTTGGGATTTGTACAGACTCACTTCGTTTGTCAGAAGAGCAAGATCAACGATAACATTCAGGCCAGGCAGAGGAACAGCCGCAGCGGCGGCAGACGCAGACGCGATCATCCAAATTCGGCCTGAAACGAATTGGAGTTAAAATGTAACGTTTGTTGTAGTTTGAAGTCGTGTAAATTATTTTAGATGACGCTTCTCCCCGCACAACCTGAAAAAATATTGACCGTGGTGAAAATCCCTGACCTATTTGACCTTGTAGCTCTGTTGCATGGTAGAGCATTAATTGGACTGGCAAACCAAATGTCGCTGGTCTGATTCCCACCGTGGTCAAGCAATTTTTCAGCTTGCTCGGTGTGGAGACACTCGAAGTTTAGTAGCGTCATATAAAAAGAATTGGGGTTTATCCCACTGAGCTATACTATATTACTGGAGGCCTGCTCGGCATCAAAAAGTGTCGCCAAAAACATGGCGGATTTTGGCCTTTGCTGACGCCAGAACGACGCTTATGGTTCCTCCGACTTATGGTAATTACCACTGACCAGGCTCAATTTTGAGCCCGCTACGACTTTCACACCCCCTGGTTCTTATTAAAATATTTTAGCTTCTTGAAGTCTTTGCAGTATATTCTCGTAGTTTTTGATTTTTTTCCATATTTTTTGGACCCTTGACCACTGGTTCAAATGTGGGCAAGTCGTACAAATTATATTCTCAATACATCGGCAAAGACGATATTTGAAGCCGCAACTACAGGTAAAATATTTCTCAGTTAAGAATTTCACACACTCGAGCAAATTTGCTACAAAAATTGTTGGGTTTAACTGTGGTACAATGTATTATATTTTAGCCACGAGTATGTAAAGGTCTCTAAAGCCTTGTTGTACAAAGTGATCAACTTTCGTTTTAGTCAGGCGCATATGTGTAAAATTATTGATCAGTAGTTCCCGTTGAGGTTAAAAGCATCAAACTTTTACAATTGATGTAGTTTTATTTGCTTAATAGATATTTGAAGTGGGGCCATCGCTATTTTGCTGCTAACTCCTGAAAACGGGTGATTAGCGATTTTCTTCTATTGAATTGTATTATAGCCAAAAAATGTGAAATTTTGTATTCAATTACAACAAATATGACTTGCATCATCAGAAAGCTTATAAAAACTGCATATAAGACGTTTAGACAGTTTTTTTATTTCTGAAATAGTTTTCGAATTATAAACTGTTAAAAACGCATTTTCAAACATCGAATAATTAATTAGGGACTTTTAGCGAGATAATGTGCCTAATTTACAGCAATAACCATTTGAAGAATAAAAAAACTGTTTAGAAGTCATTTATGTAGTTTTTTACAAGCTTTCTGATGATGCAAGTTATATTTGTCGCGATTGAATTCAAAATTTCACTTTTTTGTTGTAGTAGAATTTAATAGCAAATAATGCTAATAGCATCGTAACTCTCTAAAAAAACAGTTTCACGATGGCCCCACTTTTGCATGTTGTTCTACTCATAAAAAGATGCTACTGTGCACAATTTGGTGCTTTTAACCCTTTTCGGAAACATCCATGCACATATCCGCCACACTATTTCATTTAAATCGTGAGCAAAATGGTATTTTGATCTATTGTTTCACATGCTATTTGTTGCATATTTTATGATGTTTTGAATAAAGCCTGCAGTTTGTATTTCGTAATACTATTTTGAAAATTTATAATTTTCTGTAAGTGGCACGAAACTGTGCATTATCTACCACAATGACACAATTGAAATTGTATTATTTTAATTTAATTTAAATTCTTCAATGAATAATTATTAACTACCAATGAGACATGAGTCATTCCAGAAAAGATAAACACTAACTCCACAGAAAGAAATTGTGCTGTCTGAAGTGGGATGGGGCAGAACTCAACTGCTTCTTTTAAATGTAGAACTGATAGATTTGGTAATAGTTTTTTCCCTAGCATGATTAGTGTTTTAAACAAATAATTGTTCTTAGTTATAAGTTCTTATTTAATAATCTAATGATATATTGTAATATAGTTACTTTTAGTATTGTAATTCCCATTCAAATCAATTGTAAAACACATTGTAATTCATTTTCATGCGATGATGTGTTATTAAAATACCATTATTATTATTATAATAGTAAAAGTATTAGGATGTCCAAAGGTGGGAGGAAGCTGAACCTCCCATCTCTTCCATTAGAGGTGTGGATATTTTCTTGAATGACCCAATCATTTTTAACTAACTGTATAATCAAGTTATTCTAGTATAATGATCACTTTGTAGTCCCATGAGCTGTGAGATCACTTTGGCTGTTTGGCATGTTGATCTCTTTTCAATTTTCTTTTGGTAGCGACAACAGATTACTACTACAAATACTGTATTACTACATATTGTTACACCCAAATAAGATTTTTGCTTCAGTTCTTGTATATCACTTTGATCCCTGTAATAGAAATGAGAAATAAAGTTACTTTGTTTGTGATTGTTTTATTCTATGGTGTGAAACTGTTTCGTGTACATTTCAAAATTAATTACAATGGGTGCATATACTGTAGGTTCTGGCCTGTTAGCTCGAGTCTGCTCGACAGATCTGGTTTGAAACTGTTAGCTCTGGTGCACCACTACTCTTGTATAAATCTGAATTAACCATTAAGTACCAGCACCCTTCCTCAATTGATGAGTAAAATTATCTGGTGTTAGACAGAGTAAAATAATCTACCGTTACACAGAGTCAATTAGAGAGTTTGGCAACCTAGAACGGCAACGATAACGACAACGGGAAAAATATAATTGCTTATATTGTTGTATTTGAACCAAAGTATACGTTACTACACTTAATTTGCCTCTTTAAGTATTCCTGTTTCTTTCAAACGTACCCTTAAGTAAAAATAGTCCGCGAATTCAAATAAAACACCTCAAATAACATCGAACGAATTAACCGTTGCCGTAGTCATGCACCGTGAAAATGATGCAAATCACGTAGTAGTTTCAACAACTACGGCATTGCACAACGCTTAAGACCATGTAATTTACATTTGTCTTTGTCTTTGAGGATTAATGCTATTGTTGATGACCATATTGCCGTTGCCGTTGCCGTTGTATTTGCCAAACTCTCTAATAATAAAGAAGGGCGCAATGTGACTCAATAGGTTAACTAGACACATGGGCTAGTTAACCCATTAACTGCCAGCACTCTCCGCTTGACGAGTAAAATCATCTGGCGTCAGACAGAGTAAAATAATAAAGTAGGGCGCAATGCGACTCAATGGGTTATCCTCTAAGGGACCTAAATAAATATGGAGGTATTTTCTGAGTAAAGGAGGTTCTTTGTTTGGAGATTTTTGTGAGGCATAGAGGTTGACCCATACTAGCACTCAAGGTAATGCCAATGCAAGAATGATATAAGTATAAATCATGCAAATTTGGGTATGCACAAGTCAATGATAGCTCGATGCTCACTGAAATGTAGTGCACAACCCCACAAAAATGCCTAACTACACAGCCAATTGGAAAATGCTGATACAAAACCTAGCAAGATTAGCAGTTTATAATATTTGTGAAGGATACAATACAGCTTGTTTATAGTGTATATAATCTAGTGCTAACTGCTCTTTATAAAACAGCAAACTACAGATTGCATGAGCTGCTGTTTAAACTAATAAACTGGCACTAAAAACAAAAGCCAGTGCCTGAAAGTCTGAAACTAGAAACAAAATGTATGTACACAATGTATAAATAACCATGTACAACGTTTTTTTATGTCTGCTCCAGAAATATTGGTGTAAATATAAAATATAAGTGTTTGACACAAACACACACACGCACACACACACATATATATATATATATATCTGATACAACACGGCCGCTCATGTTGTAAACATTACTTATTCCTCGATTTATGCATCGGCCCCTGATTTTGCCAATCTAGAATTAGTCGAATAAAAGGTAAAAACTTAAAATTTTCACAAATCTTACCTTTCAAAAAAAATATTCTTCCTTTTAAAGTCTTTACAACGAATTTTGCATCCACAAGCGGAGAAAAACGGCATGATTTTGTCTCGAAAACATAAAATATTTGTGCGAAAACAGGGGGGGGGGACGAATGTCTTTGTCGGATGCTTAGGATCGCAGTTGGTCAGCGGTAATTGCCATGAGCCGGAGGAACCATATGGCGTCAGCAAACGTGAAAATCCGCCATTGGCGACACTTTTTTAACTGACGAGAGATAGGAGCACATCCTCCAGTAATTTAGTAAAGCTCAGTGGTTTATCCCCGAACCGACGGCGCCAAGTGCCGTGCGAGGGTACTAATTCTCCCCGGCTATTTATACCCGGGGAAACGAAAGCATTAGCGAAGTCTAAAGTTCATCAATCATCGCGGGCGTGGGTCACTGGAACGATAACTCCTATGATAAAGGCCTATGTTTCGGTGAAGCCAAATTTCGGGCGCTCAAGTATAGCCTGTTCGCAGGTATATATACGAAAATAAATACACAAAATTTTTCACGAAGTATTTTTACTAATTTAATCTTTAATTTTAACTTATTAAAGTACGTTTCTGGATGTTTGGACTTCATTATCAACCGTATCTAAGATTTTTCTATATAAATTGTATAAAATTGTCTCTGAAGTCTTTCTGGAAAGTCTAAAAACTCAGAGAAAAACCATTAGTTTTCGCGCGGTTTTTTGCCGAGTTTCGTTTTGTTCGTGTCATATTTCGGCAGCTAAACAAAATATTTGCTTATTTTATGTGCCTTAGATAAATGATGTGTTGTCTAAGTGTGCTCTGAGATAAATATAAATGCCTTGCAAGAAGTAAAAGTGAGAAAATATTAACGATTTTTAAGCTGTATTTTTCGCATCCATTTTGTAAAAAAGGACTGGGGCTACCTGCAGAAAACACACATAACCGGCTTCAAAGATGGCGGCCAACTTATCGCATTGACTTATCGTTCCAGTGGGGTCACCAACGGTGTTCGAGTGTTGGGTGTGTGGTCATCCTCACTGATCTCAAAAATATGGCGGACTGTCATGAATAGCGGACGCTGATTGGTCCAATTTAAAGTTTGCATTATAACGACTGCATGTCTGCATGACGACAGCGAAATAGCAAACATTTCTTGATTTGATGATTGATAAATTTCTTGCAAATATATTTCATTTCTGCTCGCATTTTTGCAAGATTTTGTAAATTTCAAAAGCTCTCTCAGAAAGAAACTGCGAAAGAATCGGCTAAAAGAAGGGAGCCGACGTTAACGGAAGTAAGTTTGTTTTAAATATTGATTTTATAATGCCTTTAAAACCCGACGGCCTTTGTGTATATGAAACAACTAAACAAGACAGCATATAATTTCAGTGTATCTTTAATATTGATTCCCTTTATTATTATAGTGAATTTTTAAAATAAAAACGAAAGCAAAGTTATTTGCATGCGAGAATTTGAAATCATTTTATTGCAAGCTCAAAGTTTATCGATAAAGCCATTAATTAAAGGCAGTTTAGTTTTATAAAGAACACTTTAAAAACGTTTTGCGAAGCGTTTCATTTACCTTAAATTGAAGCTTATATTACGTATAATAACATATCTAACATATATATGTTGGGAAATTGGTAATTTTGTAATTAAAAGTGATATTTTTAGGCGATTTTTTATTTGTAAGAATATTCTTATAAAATTATCGTGTTACCATGACAACTAGTTTAGATACTTCATGTTTGGAAAATACAATGGTTTTGTCAGCAAGGCGAGGGTTTCTGCATGCATGTATTTTCTAGTTTACACTGAGAGATGATCAATAATGAAGCAGCAACATTTGGACTGGAGGCTGACAAGTGGATCGACCCTGGGTCATAACTGCTGTCGGCATCTTATATGGTGAGCAGTTGGTTAATAATTCCATAACACGCAGCTAGCAGATATGTTTGCTTATAATTAGATACCATTACCCAAGTTTCACTACATGAGAGTGGACATTTTTCTGCGACTGTGCACGCTTAGCTGCAAGGAACGGTATTGAAGGTCTTTTGATCTCGTTGGTCGTCAGAAATTTAAGCAAACAAGTCTGTTAATCAGTTATCAACCTTGTAATTATGTTATTAACAAGCTGGGAACAAGCAGTAAGAATCTGCGCGATACCAGCTTGCTGGATCAACCTTGTGCGCTTCTCGTGTTTTACATACCTCGAAGCACTGCAGCTTTTCTTTTCAACATATCCGTTGACAGACTCGTCAACACACCAAGCGACAACGTGAGGCACTCTCTTTGACGATCCGGCAGGACATCAAGAATGGCCTGTGTGAGACGAGCGAAGTCCCACTTGGCCGGATAAAGGTTGGACATCAGGAACACCGCATTATCTCCGGCTGCTGAGCCTTCCAAATTTTGCAAACAGTCTTCCTTAATTGTTTGAAGCATTGCTTGTTCGTCGAACGATCTATTTCGCTTTTGGCCCAGGTAGTCTGCATCGATATGCGTGCGTATGAAAAAGAAGGACTTGTTGAGTGATTTTACTTTTTCGGCCAACAAACGGTCGTTTTCGGTGAAACGTTTCATAGTCAGGATAAGAAATGTGTCGTATTTTTCCAGTTTGACTTTTTCGCAGTAGGTTTCAAGATCTGGGTAGTTTGGTGTACCTGTAGGAAAATTGATATTATTATTTTCTCAATTTTTGTTTGGCTAACTTTCCCACAAGGCTGGATTTTGGTGGAAGTTGTGGGGGAGGTGTAAAAAATTTAGGGGAGGTGCAGCGGTCTAGCTCACGACCTCCATGGATGGTTAGGGCTTAGAACGGGCCAAAGTCAACGACGTGACGTATGCACGTAGTGTACATATTAATGAATTATGGCTGTACAACTCATCCAATTTTGCACTTCATTACAATTACTACAAAGTTTCTTTCAAAACATTGCATTAAAAAGGTGCTTGACACAGAGATGGATGGCTATCACTGTTTCAGTTTTAGAGGAAAACGTTCTTACGAAGTGTGGACCCTAAGCAACCAAAAAATGTCAAATTTTCACTTTGATCTATTATTGAAACTTTCCCAAGGAGAGGTGCATGACTGACTTTTCAGGGGAAGTGCAAAATTCTCAGAGGAGGTGCAAAACGATCTCAGGGGAGGTGCGCACCTCACCACACCTCCCCTAAAAATCCGGCCATGCTTTCCCGCGAATAACTAGTGCAAAATTATGGTCTGGGCACGCGCATTTGCTGATCTGCAATAATGAGTTTGGCAACCAACAAAATTACCTATATTTTTGTATTCGAGCTAAAACATACATTATTAAACTTTTAAACAACTCTGACAATTGCCTGAAGTAGCAATAGTAAGCGAATTCACATAAACACCCCAAATGACTTGAACGTGTTACTCTGTTGGGCTGGTCATGAGCCGTGAAAATGATGCAAATCACGTAGCAGTTTGAACAACTACGAATCCTTAAATCTGTTAAAATCCTTAAAGGAATCCAAATTATAGTCGGCTTTGTCTTAGGGTAAAGATGCTATTGTTGATGAGCACGTTTTCGTTGCCTTTGTATTTGCCAAACTCTCTATAATGCTCTGGGACCGCTTGTACGAAGGCCGGATAGCGTATCCTGCCCGCTGGATAATGATTTTTTCAAGCATTCTATTTAATAATTGCGAGGGCCATATAGTTTAGACGTTTTAAGCGTTTCAAGAATCTTTACAACTGTTGAAAAATCATCAGGTGAGAAGGAACACCCGCGGAAAAACGTCTGCGCATGCGTCGACATTACTGAAATCTGTATTGCGAACGTGATGTCAAGTGTTCCGAATGTTGTCAAAAACTCAAAGCGACTTCGTTGTTTTGCCTTTTCTATGAAAATGCAAGCGGAATAATGAACGTGACAACCTAAAAACTAGAAATAATTATAGTCTACATGTGCAAGAAGTAATATCACACAAGAAAATAAACCAAAGGTGACTGTTGATAAATTTATTGTATAAAACGTTCTTTAACTGAACCATACAAGGATATTTTTTGTAGGTTCATATGATCCACATTTTTGTCAATAACTTTTTTTGCGTAGCATGTATAATTTTTGCGTTGACTATATTTAAGAGTAGTGATTTACTCTACAATTTAATCGTGTGCAAATGCTTAACTATTCTATAGTTTTCTTAACTGTTCTGCTTTAAGTTTGGTATTCGACAATTTTTCAAGAAATGTTCACACGCCTCCCGGTCTTAAACGGTAATTTTTAATTTAAATTCTGTTTCGTTTTAGATTTTAAATGTTAAAATCTTTTTATTCATTCTAAACTACCCGTCTAGTGTATTTTTTTGTTTGTTTCAATTACCTTAAATCATTAAATAGCCATGTTTTTGTTTACAATTTGGCATTTAAACTCCTCGCCATCTTTTTGTGCCCCACGCATGCGCAGACGTTTTTCCGCGGTGTTTTGAGAAGGGCTAACCGGCCTCGTACAACGGACCCCAGCTCATGCGCATTAGCATCACGGCTTGTCGAAGTTGTATTGCAGCAACCATTAGGTACCCACCTATACCAGGTAGATCCCAAAACTTTATTTTGTCGTTGGTAGGATGAGGGTAGACGGCGGCTACTGTTGTTTTCTCCGTGACACCGGTCTTCGCTGCGCCGTCGTCGTCATCTCTAAGTCTAGTTAAAGTAAGAATATGGTAATTAATGAAGCTGTCGAAACCACAACCTCGTCCCCAAGGTTTTTTCTTGCGGTGGGCGCGTCGAGGAAGGAGCCTGGAGACGAGATTGCCGGGAACAATATCTCCACAGATAAAAGGCCCTATGATTGGGTGAAGCGGCCAAGTGGCGGCCATTAGAGTGATCTTTGTACAAGCGTAAAAAAAAACGCACAAGTTTTAACAAACCTGCAGCAGACGTGTAGCAATGCTGTTTCACCAACAACTTGTGAACAGGATGTGTTCACACTAGAGGTGTGCATCGGATCGGATTGGACTGGACGTTTATAATCCGACAATTGGCTGGGCTATACTATATTACTGGAGGACCGGCACGGGAAAAAAAAGTGAAGCCAAAAACATGGCGGATTTAGACCTTTGCTGACGCCATCTCCATGACAACTGGTCCGTATTTCTCATGGTAATTACCACTGACCAGGCTCGGATCTGAGCCCGCTACGATTTCCACACACCCCTGGTTTTCTTTAAAAAACTTTAGGTTTTTGCAATTTTGCTCGGGTTTTGTAGTATTTTCTCAATATTTGAATCGATTTTTAAAATGTTTTCGAGATATTTCTTCTAAATTTGGTTATTGGTTCAAAGATATACAAGTCGTACGTGTTCTTCTTCCCGGGAAAGACAACAAAATTCAAACCTCGCTGTGCTCGCAAAATGTGAGCAAAGCCAAAGAGGATATTTGAATCAGCGAGCTATAAACAGGTATTTCATTCAATTTTATTTATGCTTTATCTTATCTCACATAAAATTGGTAGGCTTAACTCAAGCTTGACGATGAAATGCACTCTTTTTGTTAAGAAAACAGCCTTTTGCTGGGGGTTTTTTGGTGTAATTTGGCAATCTGTTTTCTGTATATTTCAAAATTTGGTTGCAGAAACTACAACTTTTTGTTATTTATACTGTACTTTAGAAAATGCTATTACAGTAACCCCCACCCCCAAGAAAATGTTGCTGCTGTATGATGAAAAGGTACTATGTTGGGGGGCACAGGGTTGTAAGCTCAGGTGGTACATAACTCCTATCATAACCTTTATAATAATTAACCCGTTGAGCTGCAATGGGCTATTCCAATTATTATCTGCACCCCCCCTGTCGAGGAATCTTGGAATTTCCAGGGGAGGGAGTGTATTAACCTTGGAATTTCCAGGGGAGGGGGTGTATTAACCTTGGAATTTCCAGGGGAGGGAATACATTAACTCTGGAATTTCCAGGGAAGGGGGCATTCAGGCTCTGGATTTCCAAGGGGAGGAGTAATTCTCACATGGAATTTCCAAAGGGAGGGGTAAATTTGATGGGATGGGAATTCCATTGGAGGACATATGTTAGGGAAATTTCTGGGAGTAAATGTCCCATGATGGAAATTCCATAGGGAGGGGTAATTTACACATGGAAATTCCATGGACAGGGCCAAATTTTAAATGGAAATTCCATGGGGAAGGCCTAATTTAAAATGGAAATTACATGGGGAAGGGTAAATTTTACAAGGAAATCCCATGGGAAGGGGTAAATTTTACATGAACATTTGCGGAAATTCCAGGGGAGTACCGACATGAGAAAGTGGTTCCTCAACTGGGGGAGTGCAGATAATAATTGGAATAGCCCAATGCGTCCCACTGGGGAAGCTCTGGCCGGGCCGTACACAACGGGGAGGCAACTGCCCCCAGAGAAAACTATATTTGCGATTTTTAGAATGTCATTATTAATTATTCTTTGGATATTTGGGACTTTTTTTGGCATATAGGCCATACTGCCCCCCAATGAAAAAATCCTGCATATGGTCCTGTCTGCAGCTTAATGGATTTAACAATTTGGAACACCAGATATACTGGATGCATGGCAATCTGGCAATTACTAACTACTGTATGTTGCTTCCCTTGCACTGGGAAGGTACCTTGTATCCTGGCCACTTTTGATTATTATACCATTAAGCCTGATAATTGCACCAATGGTTCTGGTGTCTCTGGTTTGGAGTTGAGTCACATTGTTTTGTTTTTCCATCATCATTTTTGTGCTCAAAGTTACAGTATATAATATATTTTTGTTTATTCCAGAATTATCCCACAATTGGGATATCATAATTTGGCATTTGCCCTGACTCTCTCTGGTTTCCCAATTAACCCATAGAGTGGCTCTGACATTGACAAGTAAAAGTAGGGCAGGCAAAATACAGTACCAAGCAAGATGTATGGAAATTGAAGACACAAAAGCTGGATTAATTTTGAACTATTTTAATTGGACTTCTTCAATACAGTAAAATTATTAACAGTGATTAAATTATTTTAATTAGGTAATTAAATTATTGTAATTGAGTGTACATGATGTAGTGGAGTATGTGTTAACTTAATTCAGGGGTGGATTAATAGGGGGTGTACACCCCTGTTGGCCTTGGTCAACAGGGTTGCAATAAAATCAAATTCAGAAATATGGCATAATTTCCAAGGTTTTCCATTTTTTGAAGTCAAACTGAAGCTCATAATTCAATGTCCATATCACAGGAAATGGTATTTCTAGGGTTCTAATTCTCTCATTTCTAGGGTTCTAATTCTAGGGGCATACCCCTGAACCCCCTAGCTTGTGCCTTTGCTGCTTGAGTCGTTAGGAAGCCAATTCATTTGAATGCTCTCCCACCACCCCCTAAGGAATTATAAAGAAACATTTGGCTGCTCACCCAGCACCCCCGAGAAAAACCTTGCTGGATCCACCCCTGGCTTAGTTAACATTAACTTAATAAAGGTTATATACTTTTATATGTTATCATCACCATCAAAGACATATTTTCAAGGGTGTGCAGAAAACTTCAGGGGTGGCAGGTGAGCGTGGAGCATGTAGTATGTTATCATCACCATCAAAGACAGATTTTCAAGGGTGTGCAGAAAAATTCAGGGGTGGAAGGTGAGCGTGGAGCATGTAGTATGTTATCATCACCATCAAAGACAGATTTTCAAGGGTGTGCAGAAAAATTCAGGGGTGGAAGGTGAGCGTGGAGCATGTAGTATGTTATCATCACCATCAAAGACAGATTTTCAAGGGTGTGCAGAAAAATTCAGGGGTGGAAGGTGAGCGTGGAGCATGTAGTATGTTATCATCACCATCAAAGACAGATTTTCAAGGGTGTGCAGAAAAATTCAGGGGTGGAAGGTGAGCGTGGAGCATGTAGTATGTTATCATCACCATCAAAGACAGATTTTCAAGGGTGTGCAGAAAAATTCAGGGGTGGAAGGTGAGCGTGGAGCATGTAGTATGTTATCATCACCATCAAAGACAGATTTTCAAGGGTGTGCAGAAAAATTCAGGGGTGGAAGGTGAGCGTGGAGCATGTAGTATGTTATCATCACCATCAAAGACAGATTTTCAAGGGTGTGCAGAAAAATTCAGGGGTGGAAGGTGAGCGTGGAGCATGTAGTATGTTATCATCACCATCAAAGACAGATTTTCAAGGGTGTGCAGAAAAATTCAGGGGTGGAAGGTGAGCGTGGA